GTCATCACAGCACCTAGCTACCATCAACTGTCCCGTCATCTCAGCACCTAGCCACCATCAACTGCCCGTCATCTCAGCACCTAGCCGCCACCAACTGTCCCGTCATCTCAGCACCTAGCCACCATCAACTGCCCCGTCATCTCAGCACCTAGCCACCATCAACTGCCCCGTCACCTCAGCACCTAGCTACCATCAACTGTCCCGTCATCTCAGCACCTAGCCACCATCAACTGCCCCATCATCTCAGCACCTAGCCACCATCAACTGCCCCGTCATCTCAGCACATAGCCACCATCAACTGCCCCGTCACCTCAGCACCTAGCCACCATGAACTGTCCCGTCATCTCAGCGCCTAGCTACCATCAACTGCCCAGTCATCTCAGCACCTAGCCACCATTAACTGTCCCGTTATCTAGATCTGCACCTAACCACCATCAACTGCGACGTCAACTAACCACTCTGCAGCATCAAAATCAACCTTTATGCCACTTAGGTAAAACTACTTTTGGGGCGCAACCCTCCGAATCAAGGTTCAACCAAGAGGTCGACCCTCCCGTTAGTTTGACAGGTAAAATGACCCTTATATGCTACTTGATACTTGCTCCTTGGCACCACAGATTTGGCGAGCACCCCAGTTTTACCGCGCAGCTTTGGCGCGCACCTCAGTTTTGGCGCCACGGCTACGGCAATGGGTGCCAAGGTGGACGCACATCCGGCGCTAAAGGGTGTCTTGGCGCCAACTTATAATTTATGAAACAACTCGTTACTCTTCTCTTCCTGGCGAAAAGAAAATAGAGAAAGACAAGTAGGCAGGGTAAGTGGTGGCGGCGGCAGGGTAAGTGGTGGCGGCGGCAGGGTAGGTGGTGGTGGTGACAGGGTAGGTGGTGGTGGTGACAGGGTAAGTGGTGGTGGTGACAGGGTAAGTGGTGGTGGTGAAAGGGTAGGTGGTGGTGGTGAAAGGGTAGATGGTGGTGGTGAAAGGGTAGGTGGTGGTGGTGACAGGGTAGGTGGTGGTGGTGACAGGGTAGGTGGTGGTGGTGACAGGGTAAGTGGTGGTGATGACAGGGTAAGTGGTGGTGGTGAAAGGGTAGGTGGTGGTGGTGAAAGGGTAGGTGGTGGTGGTGAAAGGGTAGATGGTGGTGGTGACAGGGTAGGTGGTGGTGGTGACAGGGTAAGTGGTGGTGGTGAAAGGGTAGGTGGTGGTTGTGACATGGTAGGTGGTTGTGGCGGCAGAGTAGGTGGTGGTGACAAGGTAGGTGGTGGCGGCAGGGTAGGTGGTGACACGGTAGGTGGTGGTGGTGGCATAACAGGTGGTGATGGTGACAGGGTAGGTGGTGGTGGTGGCGGTGGCGGCGGCGGCAGGATACGTAGTGGTAGTGGTGACAAGGTAGGTGGTGGTGGCGGTAGGGTAGGTGGTGGTGGTGACAGGGTAGGTGGTGGTGGTGACAGGGTAGGTGGTGGTGGTGACAGGGTAGGTAGTGGTGGTGACAGGGTAGGTAGTGGTGGCGGCGGCAGAGTAGGTGATGGTGATAGGGTAGGTGGTGGTGATAGGGCAGGTGCTGGTGGTGATAAGGTAGGTGGTGGTGATAGGGCAGGTGCTGGTGGTGATAGGGTAGGTGGTGGTGATAGGGCAGGTGCTGGTGGTGATAGGGTACGTGCTGGTAGTGATAGGGTACGTAACTGGTAGTGATAGGGTACGTAACTGGTAGTGATAGGGTACGTAACTGGTAGTGATAGGGTACGTGCTGGTAGTGATAGGGTACGTGCTGGTGGTGATAGGGTAGGTGTTGGGGGTAGTGGTGACAGGGTAGGCTATGGTGATGGTGACAGGGTAGGTTATGGTGATGGTGACAGGGTAGATGGTGGTGGTGGCGGCAGGATACGTGGTGGTAGTGGTGACAGCGTAGGTGGTGGTAGTGGTGACAGCGTAGGTGGTGGTGGCAGAGTAGGTGATGGTGATAGGGTAGGTGTTGGTGGTGATAGGGTAGGTGCTTATGGTGATAGGGTAGGTGTTGGGGGTTGCGGTGACAGGTTAGGTGGTGGTGACAGTGGTGGTGACAGGGTAGGTAGTGGTGGTGGCGAGCAGCCAAGGTGTCGCCCAGGGTCGCTGACTGACGCATGCTCTCCTACCCTGCCATCCCACCAACATCACAACACAGCAACAGCATCACTAACACACACACACATTAATAAAGTCCTCGTGTAGCTTCCTATAATCTGCCCTCTAATATATATATTGAAAATTTAATATCTGTAACATCACTTTAACATGTATTCCCGTATAAAGCTATTTTGTTTATAATGAACGCCTTAAAATCCGAAATATGTACTCTCTGGAACGGAAGAGAGAGAGATACATAATATATACCAGTAAAGTACTTGAGGGCCTTGTCCCAAATCTGCACACTGCCATAACATACTGGAATGAGAGATATGGAAGTGTAATATAAACCCAGAGAAAAGCAGGGGTGAAGTGGGCGCAGTAATGGAACACTATATCAACGTCCGTGGCCTCACACTATTCATCTTACCAGAAGATATCAAAAACACTTCTGGGACCAATGTAGAAGTCTTCAAGAGGAAACTTGACCAGTATCTTCACCTGGTGCCAGATCAACTAGGCTGTGATTTATATTTGGGTCAGCGGGCCACTAGCAGCAACAGCCTAGTTGACCACACATGCACCAGACAAGCTGGGCCCAAAGCCGGACTCGGAGTACAAAAAAAAAATCGGAACTCATCAAAGGTAAGATACGAGAAGAACGCGTCAGCGTCAGCGTGCTCTCTCTGCGTCTCTTCCATGAGAAGAACCTTGGATATACCACTTGTGGGAGAGCCGCCTTCAAGCCTTTTATCACTTATATAAACTCCCTGACTGATGTTAACGTTCTTACTCATTGTATCAGTGATGTTAACTCCGTAACTAATGTTAACGCTACTCTAAATCATTGTCAATGGTTAAATAACAAAAAGGCACAATACCGTAACTGGAACAATACACAAATAACTATGTGCGGGTTATTTGTGTATTGTCAATGGTGTTAACTGTGATGTTAACGCTGCTCTAAATCATTGTCAATGGTGTTAACTGTGATGTTAACGCTGCTCTAAATCATTGTCAATGGTGTTAACTGTGATGTTAAGCGCTGCTCTAAATCATTGTCAATGGTGTTAACTGTGATGTTAACGCTGCTCTAAATCATTGTCAATGGTGTTAACTGTGATGTTAAGCGCTGCTCTAAATCATTGTGTCAGTGGTGTTGACGCTGCTCTAATTCACTGCAATATTTCGTCTGCAATGTCATGTGCTGCCAACTTTCCGTATGGATGTCTCACATGGCAGCATCAAAAGTATAGATCACATTATAGACTATAAATGTTTACCGTCTTCGGGTAATTATGAAGTGAATTTGATATTGCTTCCTGTAACGTCCCTTAACTGAAGCTGGGCACCAGTCTCACGCTATTGATTTCCCACCTGTAAATTATTCCTCATTTTAATGATTAGTACTATGATGAATGAGACACCTGTGCGGCACTTGGGTGTCTTCATTGTGGAAACGTTTCGCCAACCAGTGACTTCCTTAGTCCAATACAGAGAAGAATGGTTGAAGTTTGAGGTAATCAGTCCCTCAGCCTGGAGTCGATGCGATCAGTCCATCAAATCTTGATTTTTCCACAGTGACATAAACTACAACTGCTTCGCCTCACCTGTCTGCAGTATATAAGCCTCTTCTCCATACATGTGTCGCACATCGGCTTCAGGCTGAGGGACTGATTACCTCAAACTACTCCTGATCTTTAACCATTCTTCTCATTATTGGACTGAGGAAGCCACGGGTGACAAATTTATATACTAAGAGGCTTATTAACAACTTACTATACCGCATCTTATCTTTTAATGCTCTTCCAAATGCTTATTTGGTTACACTCTTCGTGTTTACAATTATTTATTTCTTAGTTAAAAATTTAGGTAATTAATGCTCACTTTCTTCATAATTTCAGTACTGTATTTTATTTCTGACAGTAATTTAGAATGTTAAATTGTTTTTTTCACTGCCAACTAACCTAGATTACATTTCTGTGACCTAATCTTCTTCCATACTTGTGTTTTATAATTTGGAAAAAAATCTTTAGGATCTTACACATTTTCTAATGTATCCTAATATAATAATTCAATTTTCTCATTTTTCTTAATGTTTCAGATATCTTTTGTATTCCGATTTTGTGTCCAAACAGATTATATGAAAAGTTTACTTCCTGAGCACACTTTACATTACTTGTAATATTTTCTAAAGTTTATGTCTGCTCATCTTTAATAACTAAATTTGCTGCCTTAATCTTACTCGTTGTTGTCTTAAATCAGTATAATATAATTGCTGCTTTAAACCCTTGATGAGTTCCAATAGTTTTTCTACACGCGGAGCCCGGCCATGGGGCAGGCTCGTCTGGTGTCTGCCTGGTCTACTTGCCAATCAACCTTCCTAAACTCTTGCCCTTAGACTAATAAAAAAGATGCCCCATGAACAACTTGCTCAAATCAACCTTCGTTAATTACTACTATAAACCAGTATTAAATCTCCCATACACTCCTCAAACTCGAATTCAATATTATGCATCTTCTCCGTTATGTAGAACAAATAAATTATTTTTGTGTGTGTGTTCCGCGTCAACACACAGCGTTGTGCTCATAACACTGGTGAAGATGACATAAGTCACGAGTTCCTTGTTCACCTGGGATGCCACAACCAGTGAACCTCTTAACAGTTTGATATAACAATACACCAGCGAATATGTAGTCTGCGAATAAAGTAATGTAGTACTTAGAAGAAACACGAACACTGACAAATATTAAGAAACGGGAGGAGTTAGAGAAACGTTCCAGTTTGGAGGAGGAAAATTTTTACAAGCTGGGTAAGGAGTGGGTGGGCGGCCCACCCACAGGACAGCAAGCAGATCATCCCTCTGCCTCTACACTAACTCAAATGGTGATTACTCACGTAGTCTTGGGTCGAACCAGGAGGTGGACTTGTCTTCGTGATTGATGAAGTAGATCTCGCCTTCCGGAGTGACGGCCTGCTCCCAGCTCTCAGGAAGTGGGCCCAGGTTGCCGTTGAGCAGCGCCACACCCTGCTGGGGACTGGCCTGCGAGGAAGGCGGAGGCTGGGGGCCAGGCTGAGACACTGTCACGTGAGGGGGCTGGGGCTGGGGCTGCTGCTGCTGCTGTTGTTGCTGCTGCTGTTGTTGCTGTTGCTGCTGCTGCTGCTGCCGCTGCCGCTGCTTCATCACTGTCTTCCGCGGGTCTTCCCACGTCGTCGTCTCCGTCATATGACTGTAGGAAAGGGGAAGAGGCTGTTAACAGATATACTGGGGATATACATGGGAAAAAACAAACAGCAGAGTCTTTCATTGGAAGCTCCCGAGGTCCATATAGAGACTACCTGCTGAGACCTATCTAGTATTGCTACCTTTAATTCTGTTTAAATAGGGTTACCTGGAGGTTATTCCGGGGATCAACGCCCCCGCGGCCCGGTCCATGACCAGGCCTCCCGGTGGCTCAGGGCCTGATCAACTAGGCTGTTACTGCTGTACGGGAGGTTAAAATTTTCCTGTTAGCGCATAGAGGACAAAACCTCCATAGTCTTTGCCCTCAAACACTTACATAGGTTTAGCATTTCACAGGATATAAATAATTTGTATTATAAGCAAGTGATACACAGTATCACAGTATTATAAGCAAGTGATACACAGTATCACAGTATTATAAGCAAGTGATACAAAGTATCACAGTATTATAAGCAAGTGATACACAGTATCACAGTATTATAAGCAAGTGATACAAAGTATCACAGTATTATAAGCAAGTGATACACAGTATCACAGTATTATAAGCAAGTGATACAAAGTATCACAGTATTATAAGCAAGTGATACACAGTATCACAGTATTATAAGCAAGTGATACAAAGTATCACAGTATTATAAGCAAGTGATACAAAGTATCACAGTATTATAAGCAAGTGATACAAAGTATCACAGTATTATAAGCAAGTGATACACAGTATCACAGTATTATAAGCAAGTGATACAAAGTATCACAGTATTATAAGCAAGTGATACAAAGTATCACAGTATTATAAGCAAGTGATACAAAGTATCACAGTATTATAAGCAAGTGATACACAGTATCACAGTATTATAAGCAAGTGATACAAAGTATCACAGTATTATAAGCAAGTGATACACAGTATCACAGTATTATAAGCAAGTGATACACAGTATCACAGTATTATAAGCAAGTGATACACAGTATCACAGTATTATAAGCAAGTGATACAAAGTATCACAGTATTATAAGCAAGTGATACACAGTATCACAGTATTATAAGCAAGTGATACACAGTATCACAGTATTATAAGCAAGTGATATACAGTATCACAGTATTATAAGCAAGTGATACACAGTATCACAGTATTATAAGCAAGTGATACACAGTATCACTTCAACTCCCCCTTCCCTAGGCTACTAGTTAACTAAGCTTACCCTAGACAAAGTAATTACCACCCATTTCTTCATAGAAAATCAACACGTGGTACCAAAAGGTCAATCTGCCACTTTCCTCAGATCTGGACATATATATACAAACACACATACATGTATACTGAAAAAGTCATCATGAATGAAAGCAAACCTAATAGCTAGGCAGCGAACCCGGGTTCCTGGGCTTAGGAAGGACGTGGAGTACCTGCAAGATGCTGCAGGGGGTAAACGCCCCTGCGGTCCGGTCCCAGACCAGACCTCCTGGAGGATCAAGACATGATCAACTAGGTTGTTACTGCTGGACTTATGCAGTGCAACGTATGAACCATAGCCCGGGTGGTCAGGAACTGATCTAAGGAACTCAGATTAAGTAAGATTTGCCAGGAAACAGGACAAATGTTTCCTTACGTGGGTCAGGAGCTTTTAGCCATCTGACAGAGGTCTTCCTTTGGCTTACCCGTCCACCCCTTTAAAAATGAAGGTTATACGTAATTATATATCTCCAGATTTTGAGGAACTTGTCCAGTTTCCTCTTGAAGTCAGCCAGAGGTTTGCTGTTAATTTCCCTTATGCACGGAGGGAGGGCGTTGAAGAGTCAGGGACCTCTGACACTCAACGAGTTCTCTTAATGTACTCGTCGCGCCCTTGCTTTTTACTGGGGGGTAGTACTTTGCCCGATTAACCAGGCTGTGATGAACAAGTGGGAAACTCTTGGAAATTATCAACGGTAAAGGCATCAAACTTAAAATCCTCCCTGCCAGCAGGTATGATTTGTAACATCAACACCTCAACATCAAGCATGCAACAACATTACAAGTGGCTCCTGGTGTGGTGGCAAGAGAAAAATCTACAATTGAGAAATCCTACAGCTCTGGAGTTACATCACAATATCCAGTATACACTGGTCTATCAATGTGCCTCTACTTCACAGTGATCAGGCTAGATAAAGCCTCTCAGATCTGTATAGGAATGACTCGATGGTGGCTATTAAATCAGCTTCCAGCAACTTCCTTCTCTGTTAGTCATTCTCGCTGATGACTAGTCGGGTTTCACTCAACTTCATTATGCAACTACATTCGTCCCTGTGTTGTACACAGGTACGTTACGGTCATACCACTTGTTTTTGTACACAGGTACATTACGGCCATACCACCTGTGTTGTACACAGGTACGCTACGGTCATACCACCTGTTTGGTACACAGGTACATTACGGTCATACCACCTGTGTTGTACACAGGTACGTTACGGTCATACCACCTGTGTTGTACACAGGTACGTTACGGTCATACCACCTGTGTTGTACACAGGTACATTACGGTCATACCACCTGTTTTGTACACAGGTACGTTACGGTTATACCACCTGTGTTGTACACAGGTACGTTACGGTCATATCACCTGTGTTGTACACAGGTACGTTACGGTCATACCGCCTGTGTTGTACACAGGTACATTACGGTCATACCACCTGTGTTGTACACAGGTACGTTACGGTCATACCACCTGTGTTGCACACAGGTACGTTACGGTCATACCACCTGTGCTCTAGAATACAGAAACACCTGCATACCTTTGATATGCCTTAATGAAGGTTCCAATCATTGCCTTTTGTATAATTTACTATTGACCGGTATTCTGATGCCATCTACTACATTACTAAAGATGGCTAGGTATAAAACAGCTGCCAGACACAAACCTACAGACAACCTGCAGTTCCTTTATATTTAACAAAAATAGTAGTTTTGAGGCCTCTGGAAATGTGACCAACACTGAGGTCCAGTGAGGTCAATTTTAATGATCTTAAACCTGATGAACAGTGAGTGACCTGACCTGATCTGACCTGACCTAAACGATTTTTCCCTTTTCCCACAGCTACATAGTGTGTTACAAAAATAGGAATACGAGGCATGGGTCAGTGGCTTAAGCCAGTAGGTAACTTCCTCGCATGGGCCAGTAGGCCTGCTGCAGTGTTTCTTCTTTCTTATGGTCTTATGAAAAAATAAAATCCACAGGTCAACAGTCACAGGAAAGGATGAAATGATGTGGAGAAGGACAAAAATTCTCGTTATTACTTGCTCCCACTCGACCTCCAGAGTAAAAAAAAAAAAAGTAAAAGTTTGGAGCATTAATATGTGCGACATTACGAGCGTTGCTTTAAGAGTTGTCGTAATGATGCAATAATAAAAATTATCAAGGTATTATGAAAATAGCAAGTGCAATAAAATACATTTACAAACACTGAATAAGACTACTGAATCTTAAAGGCGATGCAATGCAATCCAAGATTACACAATACACAAAGATTATTAAGTAGAGGATGTAGTGGAGGTGTCACCCCGTGAACCCAACACTTGCCACTTCTTGTACGTCTGAATATGAAGCCAAGAAATATAATAGTTTTACTGCCAACACTTGGTCACTGTTGTTGTTGATTTACATTTCTGCTTTCACCATTATTTCTCTACATTAAACTGTTTTTTTTGACATTACTTAAACCACAAGAATATTCAATTATTTTTAAATTAACGTTTTCCACATAATTTGTAGGCCTGTGTTTGTTTCTTGTGGGTTTCCCTTACATCGTCTTGACTGGTGCTGAGGACGCAAAACGTAAGAACAAAGCAGCACTACGGAAGGTCTACTGGTCCGTGTTGGTAAGTAAAACATGTGAAACAGGTGGGTATCTTTATTGCCCAAACGTTTCGCCTGAACAGCAGGCTTCCTCGGTCGAATACAGGCGAATATAACACTGGAGACAGTAGAAATAACTGAGGTAATCAGTTCTTCAATCTACTCCTGGCCTATGGTACTCAGATCCACTCATTATTATTCACCACTTCGTCTAATCTATTTTTTAAAGTAACTCACAAGACTGGCTTCTATGATACTGCATGATCAATTCGTCAACAATATTATTAATGTGTGATGAATGGTTTTGAAAACCGACAAGTTGAAGAAACCATTCATCACATCTGTCAGACACTGCAACATCATGGAATCTTGGTACAAAGACTTCAACGCTTGCCCAAACCTTTGGACGATGACCTACTTACATTAGTGGCACGTCCCACTAAGATCCCGCCTCCTCCTGCTTCAACTCATCTCACCGCAGTATATAAGCCACCTCTCTGGCCCTATGCTGCACTTACTACAAGAGTGATGGACTGAACACATCGAATCCAGGTTGAGGGACTGATTACCTCATACTTCTACTCTCCTTACCCATTTCTACTTTGTATTGGACTGATGAAGCCACTGTGTGGCGAAACGTTTCTTCAATAAAGATTCCCATGTGTTGCATAAGTGTCTCAATTCTTCATTATTAATGTGATTTACGTGCCTGACAAATTGATAAATGAGACATATGTGCAATATATGGATATCTTTATCCTGGAAATGCTTTGCCACACATTGGTTTCTTCAGTCCAATGCAGAAAAAGTTGGAAGGTGAGGAGTTTGAGGTAATCAGTCCCTCAGCCTAGAGTCGATGGCGAAACGTTTCCAGAATAAAGATACCTAAATGTTGCACAAGTCTCTCATTTATCAACAATATTAATAAACTAGAGTTTTCCTATAGCCATTTTCAAAGTAAGTTTACTTATCTAGGTTGTATATATACGAGTTGTGTCTTTCCTTGCCACAGATAATACACAGTAATGACAAAGAGTCATTGTGAATAAGCTTACTATGTAGATAAAACGTTTCGGAATATAGTTGCCTAACTGTTGCCCATGTGCCTTACCTACCAACCTGTCGGTATCGTATACCATTTTGATATTCAGGTGTATGAAT